AACGTATGTCATGATGATGATGGTGGAAGTTGCATGGCAATATATCTCGGAATGGCTATGGAAATGCCATAATAGGTAGGTATGGTGGCTGTTTTGAGGAATATATAAGGAGGTTTATGTGTGATAGAGCGTATCATATCATGGGGTTTGGATGCACCGGCGAAGTTTGCACCAACTCTCAAGGTGAGAAAGGGCAATGCACGATACCGAAGAGGCTAGCAAAGGCGGAAAGGTGAGAGTGCGTATAATCCATGGACTCAACATTAGTCAAAAGAACTCATATACTTATTGCAAAAATTTAGAAGTCATCAAAAACCAAGTACTACGCGCATGCTCCTAGGGGGATAGATTGGTAGGAAAAGACCATCGCTCATCCGCGACCGCCACTCATAAGGATGCACAAGCCAGGTACACTTCATGTTTCAAGTTTGTTACACAACTTTAACCATACATGCATGCTACGGGAGTTGCTAACTTCAATACAAGCATTCTTTAAATTCATAATTACTCAACTAGCATGACTTTTATATTATCACCTTCATATCTCAAAACAATTATCAAGCATCAAACTTATCTTAGTATTCAATGCACTCAAAAGAAAGTTTCACATATCTTGAATACCAAGTATATTAATATTAAGCAAATTACCATGCTATTAACGACTCTCAAAATAATCTAAGTGAAGCATGAGAGTTCATCTATTTCTTCAAAATAAAACTACCACCATGCTCTAAAATATATAAGTGAAGCACTAGAGCAAACAACAAACTACTCCAAAAGATATAAGTGAAGATCAATGAGTAGAACTATCAAGCTCAAAAGATATAAGTGAAGCACATAGAGTATTCTAGCAAATTCCAATTTGTGTATGGCTCTCTCTCATTAAAGAATTTCAGATCTTGATACTTTATTCAAACAGCAAGCAAAGCTAAAGAAAACTACATTGCAAGGATAACACAACTCATGTGAAGAAGCAAAAACTTAGGCTCAACCGATAGTTGTTGAAGAAGAAAGGTGGGGTGCCTACCGGGGCATCCCCAAGCTTAGATGCTTGAGACTTCTTGAAATATTATATTGGGGTGCCTTGGGCATCCCCAAGCTTGAACTTTTGTGTCTCCTTAATTCCTCTCATATCATGGTTTCTCTTTTTATCAAAAGCTTCATTCACAACAAACTCAACAAGAACTCGTGAGATAGGTTAGTATAAACCAATGCAAAACCTTATCATTTTCTACTGTAACAAATCACTAAAATTATTATTCAACATTGCATACTAAATGCATCTGCATATTTAATACCCCTATCCTTAAATAGAATCATTAAACAAGCAAACATATGCAAACAATGCAAACATAATAGCAATCTGTCAAAACAGTACAGTCTGTAAAGAATGCAAGAGTATCAATACTCCCCTGACTCCAAAAATTATGAACTAAAATTCCCACTGTAATAAATTTATCAGAGCTTAATATGCAAAAAGATTCAACGTTAGACCATTCTCTGACTTTTCTAGAGAATTTTTGCAACAGCGGTAAACTTTCTGTTTTCAAACAGCAACATGCAAACTAGCAAAATAAGCATAGCAAAGGCTATCCTTGACTTTTTTATTGAACCTAAAGATGCAAAACATTACTCTAACTAACAGTAAGCAAAAACTAACAAAAGAAATTGACGCTCCAAGCAAAGCACATATCATGTGGTGAATAAAAATATAGCTCCAAGTAAAGTTACCGATGAACGAAGACGAAAGAGGGGATGCCTTCCGGGGCATCCCCAAGCTTAGGCTCTTGGTTGTCCTTGAATATTACCTTGGGGTGCCTTGGGCATCCCCAAGCTTAGGCTCTTTCCAATCCTTATTCCATAGTCCATCGAATCTTTACCCAAAACTTGAAAACTTCAACCACACAAAACTCAAAACAAAACTCGTAAGCTCCGTTAGTATAAGAAAATAAAACCACCACTTAGGTACTGTAATGAACTCATTCTAAATTCATAATGGTGTAATATCTACTGTATTCCAACTTCTCTATGGTTCATACCCTCCGATACTACACATAGATTCATCAAAGTAAGCAAACAACACATAGAAAACAGAATCTGTCAAAAACAGAACAGTCTGTAGTAATCTGTATCAAACGTATACTTCTGGAACCCCAAAAATTATTAAATAAATTTCTGGAGATGAGTAATTTGTCTATTAATCATCTGCAAAAATAATCAACCTAAAAGCACTCTCCAGTAAAAAATGGCAGCTAATCTCGTGAGCGCTAAAGTTTCTGTTTTTCACAGCAAGATCATATAAAACTTCACCCAAGTCTTCCCAAAAGTTCTACTTGGCACTTTATTGAAACAAAAGCTATAAAACATGATTACTACAGTAGCATAATCATGTGGACACACAAAAACAGTAATGATAAATATTGGGTTGTCTCCCAACAAGAGCTTTTCTTTAATGCCTTTCTAGCTAGGCATGATGATGGCAATGATGCTCACATAAAAGATAAGAATTAAAACATAAAGAGAGCATCATGAAGAATATGACTAGCACATTTAAGTCTAACCGACTTCCTATGCATAGGGATTTTGTGCGCAAACAACTTATGGGAACAATAATTAACTAGCATAGGAAGGTAACACAAGCATAACTTTAAAATTTTAAGCACATAGAGAGGAAACTTGACATTATTGCAATTCCTACAAGCATATGTTCCTCCCTCATAATAATTTTCAGTAGCATCATGAATGAATTCAACAATATAACCAGCACCTAAAGCATTCTTTTCATGATCTACAAGCATAGAAAATTTACTACTCTCCACATAAGCAAAATTCTTCTCAATCGGAATAGTAGTGGGAGCAAACTCAACAAAATAACTATCATATGATTGAAAATTAAGATCAAGATGAAAAGTTTCATGGTTATCATTATTCTTTAAAGCATACGTGTCATTACAATAATCATCATAGATAGGAGGCATGCTTTCATCATAGTAAATTTGCTCATCAAAGCTTGGGGGACAAAAAAAATCATCTCCATCAAACATAGCTTCCCCAAGCTTGTGGCTTTGCATAACATTAGAATCATGGATATTCAAGGAATTCATACTAACAACATTGCAATCATGCTCATCATTCAAATATTTAGTGCCAAACATTTTAGAGATTTCTTCTTCTAGCACTTGAGCACAATTATGCTTTCCATCATACTCACGAAAGATATTAAAAAGGTGAAGCGTATGAGACAAACTCAACTCCATTTTTTTGTAGTTTTCTTTTATAAACTAGACTAGTGCTAAAACAAAAAACAAAAAGATTTGATTGCAAGATCTAAAGATATACCTTCAAGCACTCACCTCCCCGGAGCACCAGAAAAGAGCTTGATGTCTACTACGCAACCTTCTCCTTGTAGACGTTGTTGGGCCTGCAAGTGCACATGTTTGTAGGACAGTAGCAAATATCCCTCAAGTGGATGACCTAAGGTTTATCAATCCATAGGAGGCGTAGGATGAAGATGGTCTCTCTCAAGCAACCCTGCAACCAAATAACAAAGAGTCTCTTGTGTCCCCAACACACCCAATACAATGGTAAATTGTATAGGTGCACTAGTTCGGCGAAGCGATGAAGATACAAGTGCAAAATAGATAGTAGATATAGGTTTTTGTAATCTGAAATAATAAAAACAGCAAGGTAACAAGCGATAAAAGTGAGCGTAAACGGTATTGCAATGGTAGGAAACAAGGCCTAGGGTTCATACTTTCACTAGTGCAAGTTCTCTCAACAATAATAACATAGATAGATCATATAACAAGCCCTCAACATGCAACAAAGAGTCACTCCAAAGCCACTAATAGCGGAGAACAAACGTAGAGATTATGGTAGGGTACGAAACCACCTCAAAGTTATTCTTTCGGATCAATCTATAAAAGAGTTCGTACTAGAATAACACCTTCAGACACAAATCAACCAAAACCCTAATGTCACCTAGATACTCCATTGCCACCTCAAGTATCCGTGGGCATGATTATACGATATGCATCACACAATCTCATATTCATCCAATCAACATAAAAGTACTTCAAAGAGTGCCCCAAATTCTCTACCGGAGAGTCAAGAACGTGTGCCAACCCCTATGCATAGGTTCATGGGTGGAACCCGCAAGTTGGTCACCAAAACATACATCAAGTGGCACATGATATCCCATTGTCACCACAGATAATCACGGCAAGACATACATCAAGTGTTCTCATAAAGACTCAATCCGATAAGATAACTTCAAAGGGGAAACTCAATTCATCACAAGAGAGTAGAGGGGGAGAAACATCATAAGATCCAACTACAATAGCAAAGCTCAGGATACATCAAGATCGTGCCATAGAAGGAACACGAGAGAGAGAGATCAAACACATAGCTACTGGTACATACCCTCAGCCCCGAGGGTGAACTACTCCCTCCTCGTCATGGATAGCACCGGGATGATGAAGATGGCCACCGGTGATGGGATCCCCCTCCGGCAGGGTGCCGGAACAGGGTCCCGATTGGTTTTTGGTGGCTACAGAGGCTTGCGGCGGCGGAACTCCTGATCTATCTTCTGTTCTGGAAGTTTTAGGGTACGTAGGTATATATGGGTGCAGGGGGTACGTTGGTGCACCTCCGGGGTGCTCACGAGGTAGGGGGGCGCGCCCAGGGGGGTGGGCGCGCCTCCCACCCTCGTGGGCAGCCCGTATTTCCCCTGACGTGCAATCCAAGTTCCCTGGGTTGCTTTCCTTCCAAAAATAACTTCTCTAGTTGATTTCATTCCGTTTTGACTCCGTCTGATATTCCTTTTCCTCGAAACACTGAAATAGGCATAAAACAGCAAATCTGGGCTGGGCCTCCGGTTAATAGGTTAGTCCCAAAAATAATATAAAAGTGGATAATAAAGCCCAATATTGCCTAAAACAGTAGATAAAGTAGCATGGAGCAATCAAAAATTATAGATACGTTGGAGACGTATCACCCGTCTACTCTCTTGTAATGGATTCGGCGAAGGACGGGCAGTCAAGGTTGACAGAGGAGGCGGAGTGGAAGGTGGGCACCGTGAGCGAGAGGCGGCGAAGGAGGGACGCGTGCAGGTCCTCGGCGGTGAGCGACGCGGTCCTGCGGATGAGCAGCAGGCAGAACTCCTCCTCGAGGCGTGCCATGGCGACCTACAGCACGGCCTCGACGCGCGGGCCGGCCTCGCCCATGAGGCAGGCGGCCACAGCAAGGTACTCCTCGGCGTCCTCGGGCGACTTGAACACCAGCCGGTCCCCGGCCGTGGTGGAGTCCCACTTCTCCACTAGACGCAACGCGTCCTCCACCACCGCATCCCTCTCGTCCTCTAGGTCGTCATCATCGCCGCCGAAGCCGGGGCCGGGCGTCCCCCACTCCCGCCCGTACTCTCCCTCCTCCTTGCCCCCTCCAGGAGCTCGGAGCCGGCCGTGGCATTGGGGCGCCCGCTGCCGGGAAGAGGTCGGACATGAGGGAGAAGTGGTTGTTGAAGCTGGAGAGGAAGCGGATCATGTCGTCCGCGACGTTCTTGGAGTTGGCGAGCGACTTGACGATCTGCTGCGCTGCCGCGATCACCTTCTCCTGCCCGTCGGGCGGCGCCACCGCCATCCCATCCCTGCGCCGCGCCGCGCCGCTCACCTGTGCTCTTGGATCGGAGGAGGGCGATGAGGGCGGTGTGAAAGGGGGCGGGGAGTCGCGGAGGCGGAAGGGGGGAGAGGAGGGGAGAGGAAGGGGGAGGGAGGCGAGTCGCTGATCTGCTGAGCTGACCTTGGGTTTGAGCGAGTCGTTGTCGGGTGGTTTAGATGTCTGTCTGGGCTAAAATAGGTTGGACTGATGATCTTTCCTGCTTTGATCATAGGCTTTATCGTACGGATCAGACCGGGATCAGATTCATTCCGGCGACCATACGCTAACTCACTTTATGCCGCCCATGCACCTCGACCGGGATCGAATCGTTAGCATGCGGACATTACGGCTTCGAGAATTATGTAGACATGAGCGAGACACATCTCTAGCCAATAACCAATAGCAGAACATGGATGCTCATATTGGCTCCCACATATTATACGAAGATCTTTATAGGTCAAACCGCATAACAACATACATTGTTCCCTTTGTCATGGGAATGTTACTTGTCTAAGATTCGATCATGGGTATCATCATACCTAGTTCAATGTCGTTACCGGAAAGTCTCTTTACTCGTTCCGTAATACTTCATCCTGTAACTAACTCATTAGTCACATTTCTTGCAAGGCTTATAGTGATGAGCATTACCGAGAGGCCCAGAGATAGCTCTCCGAAACATGGAGTGATAAATCCTAATCTCGATCTATTCCAACTCTACAAACACCTTCAGAGACACCTGTAGAGCATCTTTATAATCACCCATTTACGTTATGACGTTTAATAGCACACAAAGTGTTCTTTCGGTATTCGGGAGTTGCATAATTTCATAGTCCGAGGAACATGTATAAGTCATGAAGAAAGTAGTAGCAATGAAACTGTAACGATCATAATGCTAAGCTAACGGATGGATCATGTCCATCACATCATTCTCCTAATGATGTGATCCCGTTCATCAAATGACAACACATGTCTATGGTTAGAAAACATAACCATCTTTGATTAACGAGCTAGTCAAGTAGAGGCATACTAGGGACAATACGTTTTGTCTATGTATTCAGACATGTACTAAGTTTCCGATTAATACAATTCTAGCATGAATAATAAGCATTTATCATGAAATAAGGAAATAAATAATAACTTGATTATTGCCTTTAGGGTATATTTCCTTCAGTCTCCCACTTGCAATAGAGTCAATAATCTAGATTACAAAGTAATGATTGTAACACCCATGGAGTTTTGGTGCTGATCATGTTTTGCTCGTGGAAGAGGCTTAGTCAACGGGTCTGCAACATTCAGATCCGTATGTATCTTGCATATCTCTATGTCTCCCTCCGACACTTGATGACAGATGGAATTGAAGTGTCTCTTGATGTGTTTGGTTCTCTTGTGAAATCTGGATTCCTTCGCTAAGGCAATTGCACCAGTATTGTCACAAAAGATTTTCATTGGACCCGATGCACTAGGTAGGACACCTAGATCGGATATGAACTCCTTCATCCAGACTCCTTCATTTGCTGCTTCCGAAGCAGTTATGTACTCCGCTTCACACGTAGATCCTGCCACGACGCTCTGTTTGGAACTGCACCAACTGACAGCTCCACCATTCAATAAAAATATGTATCCGGATTGTGACATAGAGCCATCCAGATCAGTGTCAAAGCTTGCATCGACGTAACCATTTACGACGAGCTCTTTTTCACCTCCATAAACGAGAAACATATCCTTAGTCCTTTTCAGGTATTTCAGGATGTTCTCGACCGTTGTCTAGTGCTTCACTCCGGGATTACTTTGGTACCTCCCTGCTAAACTTATAGCAAGGCACACATCAGGTCTGATACACAGCATTGCATACATGATAGAACCTATGGCTAAAGCATAGGGAATAACTTCCATTTTGTCTCTACCTTCTGCAGTGGTCGGGCATTGAGTCTGACTCAACTTCACACCTTGTAACATAGGCAAGAACCCTTTGTTTGACTGATCCATTTTGAACTTCTTCAAAACTTTATCAAGGTATGTGCTTTGTGAAAGTCCAATTAAGCATCTTGATCTATCTCTATAGATCTTGATCCCAATATGTAAGCAGCTTCACCGAGGTCTTTCATCAAAAAACTCTTATTCAAGTATCCTTTTATGCTATCCGGAAATTCTATATCATTTCCAATCAACAATATGTCATCCACATATAATATTAGAAATGCTACAGAGCTCCCACTCACTTTCTTGTAAATACAGACTTCTCCTAAAGTCTGTATAAAACCATATGCTTTGATCACACTATCAAAATGTTTATTCCAACTCTGAGAGGCTTGCACCAGTCCATAAATGGATCGCTGGAGCGTCCACACTTTGTTAGCACCCTTTGGATCGACAAAACCTTTTGGTTGCATCATATACAACTCTTCTTCCAGAAATCCATTCAGGAATGCAGTTTTGACATCCATCTGCCAAATTTCGTAATCATAAAATGCGGCAATTGCTAACATGATTCAGATAGACTTAAGCATCGCTATGGGTGAGGAAGTGTCATCGTAGTCAATTCCTTGAACTTGTCGAAAACCTTTCGCAACAAGTCGAGCTTTGTAGACAGTAACATTGCCGTCAGCGTCAGTCTTCTTCTTGAAGATCCATTTATTTTCTATGGCTTGCCGCTCATCAGGCAAATCAAACCAAAGTCCACACTTTGTTCTCATACATGGATCCCACCTCAGATTTCATGGCCTCAAGCCATTTCGCGGAATCTGGGCTCATCATCGCTTCCTCATAGTTCATAGGTTCACCATGCACTACTAGGGAAAACCTTGTACACAAAATCTTAGCAGGAGCGCGGCACAAAAAGAGGCGCTACTGCTAATTAGCAGTAGCGCTGGTGAGGAAAACTCGATACCGATGCAAATTTAGCAGTAGCGTGTGAGGTCTAAACCGCGCTGCTACAAAAATCGACCGACAGTAACTACCAACCTAAGTTTAGCAGCATCGCGGTGCCACGATGCGCGCTGCTGCTAATGCAATAGTAGTAGCGCACTTTTTACTCACGTCGTTGCTGCTAATTTTGTAATTGGCCACACAGTTGGCCCTGTTTAGCAGTAGTGCGTGTGAGGAAAGCGCACTGCTGCTACGCTCTTATCAGTATGTGACACCCCAAAATTTTGACCTTGTTCTGTTAATTAAAATTTTGCCAGGAAATTAAAATTTTTATTTTCTGGGCTCCCTTTTGATTTTTGGACCTTTTTTCTCTCTTGTTATATGGAGTTTCCCCCCAAAAGAAAACCTTTCAAATATGTTTTGGGCTTGTTTAACCTCTCAAGAAAAACTTTTCTTTTATTAGTAGAAATAATTACATAATTAATTTGCTTGATCTTTATTTTCTTGAAAAATGGTTTTCCAAGGTTATATGGCCATATTTGAACTACAACCATTTGATAAATTCACTTAAAATTCCAACCAAAAATTGGAGATGTCAGGTGATGTTTTAAAATCACTTTTATGCAAAAATATCTTTTATTCATGAAATATTTTGAGCTCTACACCCAATTTTCTTCTCTGGTCCAAAGGACAGTTGTGCACTACGACCTATTTAAATAATTCTTTAATACTCCTACCAAAATTTTGGGATGTCAACAGGAGTATATTAATCAAATTTTTGCAAAAACCCAGTGAGGTCCTTTGAAAAATTTGAGTGAACCATCCTCATCTTCATTCTGGTCCAACATAATGGTTTGTACAGCATCCATATTCTTGCTTGCTCTTTGGCTTTGATTCTTTCCCCTGCTTGTAGACCACCCTACAAAACCCCTAAGTCCAGGAGCATGCAACCATTGGAATACTTTTGGTCCATGAGATGATGCCATTTACCTCCTGTCTAGAATTGAAGTTCTCCAAATCTTGCACTAACAAGTTTGTGATTTTCACTAACTAATTTCACCACCCTCTTATGCATCTAATGAGACCACCATCTGGAAGTTTTTACCACTCCAAGAAATGCCTAGGTGCCTGTGGCATTTTGTCAAACACCTTGAGAGCATGGACAGATTTGGCATGAGTTTTTATTTGCACTATGAACTTGGTCTCCTGACCAAACCACCTTGTCCCTTGATCTTCCCTCTATCACTAACCTAGTTCTGTTGCTTGCCAACCTCACCCGAGACCTCTAGCATGCCCCGGCATTTTATCGAACACGTTTCGTGCGTGCTCTGGGCGCGAGCAGAGCGCGCGTTTTGCACGTGCCGCGCCCGAGCCGACACGTCGCGCCCCTGGTTTTTGCCCGCTCTGTAGCGCCACGCCACGCACTGCCCTTCTCACCGCATCACGCCAAGCCGCCCTGGCAGCCTACAGCGCCGCCGTCAGGGCACTCTTGGCGGCACGCCGGCGTCCGCAGTGCGCCCCTGCCTCGGTCGGTGCCGCCCAAGCCACCAGCGCTCGCCAGCTGCCCCCTTAAGCATCTCCAGCTCATCCGCAACCTCGTCCCCTAGCACGCGTCGCCGCCACGTCGCCATAGCTACAGAAAGACGGTCGCCGGCAACCTTATCCCCGGCCGCCGCGGAACCGCCTTGGCGAGTCTATTTAAGGAGCCCCGAGCTCATCCCCGCACGCAGGCAGCCTCTCACTATCCTCCTAGTGCCCCCGTTACCGTCAATTGAGGGGGAAGAGGCCGTCTTCATCGACTCTGGCCTGTTCGGCCACCGCCGCCTCCCGGCTTCGTTCGGCATAACCAGAGCCTCCCTGGCCCTCCCAACACCACCAACAGACTCCACTCCATCTTGCGGAGCTGCCCAGACCCCCAGCTGTGACGGAGAGCCACCGAAGCCACAAATCCACTTTACTCCCGAAGCCGCCGGCCGCCGCGAAGCTCGTCGACGACGATTCCCTCCATCCCCGACGACCCTACAACCACCGGAAGGACCGCCCTTGATCCGCAGATCCATCCCCGCTCTCAGCTCCCCGTAAGGACCCGCCGTTCGCCGGCGACGATCGCCGGAGTC